TATCAGCACCGCACTCTACCGCGTGAGCCATGGGCCGGCCCAGAAACACAAATTCTAGTCCTGGATCTTGCAGAAAGAATACGGGCCATAGGCTAAGTGAGGAACTGGGGCTAGCCTTAGGTCTGGGAGCTAGAAAGATGCTCAACCTCACGTAGGGTAAGAGAAATGAAAGCTACACCCAGACACCACCATCTACCATGCAGACCGGCAAAGATGAAAGGTTTGAGGACACACTCAGTTGGCAAAGGTGGACAAGGGCACTCTCCTGCTTCACTAGCGGGGCTGTAAACCGGTACCATCTCCGTGGAGGGCAATTGGGCAATATCTACTAAGTGCACAAATTCTTTGACCCAGCAATTCCAATTCTAGAAATATAACATCCTTGGTTCGAGTGTGGTGCTGATAACACCAAGGTCCAGGGTTCGATCCCTGTACTGGCCAGCTGCCAAAAAAATAAAAAAATAGAAATGTAATGTCCAGCTATGCATGCACATTTGTGAAATGGTTTAGGTGGCATTACTTAGGACAATGACAAAGGTTTGGAGGTGTCCCCCCAAAGGGATCGGTTCCACACTGATGGTATGCCCATGTGATGAAATACAGTGGCCAGAACAAAGAATTAGAACCGCTAATGTACACTGCAGGAGGCGGCGGCTGCGGCCTGGAAGCTGACCCGGGGCCCGCCGCGGGGCGCACGCCCTCCGCCACCTCTTCACCGGCCCTGCCGCTCCGGCTTCGAGTCCTCCCGTCGCTCCATTTTGTCTCCATGTCCGCGCACGGTCGCGCTTGGAAGGCCGCATTCACGGCCCTTTGTATCCCGCGCGCCCAGTCTTCTGGGCTCTCCTGCTGGCGTTTGCGACAGGTTTCGGCGTGGCACCTTCCTCCCCTTCCCTCCCACTTTCTGAAGGTGCCTTAGGTATGGGAACGTTTGCAACAAGTCCTGTGACTTTTGGACCCCACAGATCGTATTTAAAAGTCGGTGCGTTGGCCCTGCCTGGTTAATCGAGGGCTTGCAGTGTCTTTGAGGCCCAGTGGTTCTTGACCTTTGTGATGAAAATACCAGTGAAGACAAGTGGCCTGGCCCAAAAGCAAGAATTGAAAGCGCGATGGTTGGATGGAACAAAAAGATGGTAGCTCACCAACAGATCAGAGTGATGAAAATAAAAGAACGTTCACCCAAAAATTCTTATGGTATAATTGAGAAATAAGGAGTTGTAGATAAGACCCTGTTTTCGAAAGCAAAGTGTTAAATTTCTCCCGAGGGCTCTGCTTTACGTTTTTGAAAGGTTGGAGAAAGTGAGAATGCTAGGTTTTCCGGTATCTCATCGGCCACGGTTGCCTGGAAGAACTAGCCGTGGAGCTGTGATGTCTGATCGTGGACATCCTTGCAGATTTCGTTTGTTACTAGAGTAGTGACGATTAATCCCTGAGCTTGCTGTTCACATCTTTACTGCGTTTTATGTAGTAACACATTTTTTAAAAGATCAAATTGTGCGTAACTGCAGTGCACCTAAAAGCTTTATTTTTTATATTTTCCAGGTCCGTTTGAGAAGCTTAATAAAATTTTCCTAGTTAATGTGGGTCCTCCCCATCCCCCATTAAGTATCTTATTTGTGACTAGGGGCTCAAGATTTTTAAAGATCCGGAAACTCAAGTCCTTACTGTTCTATTTTTCAGGAATGACTATGCCTCTGCTTTAAATATTAGAAAGAAAAAAAAATTTTTGCAATTGGCTTTAAATGCTTTCTACACCTTTAAAGGCTGGCTGGATACGTTTAGAAGTTTGGGATCCGAACCCGGGGCCTTGGTGTTATCAGCACCACACTCTCCTGCCCATTGTAATCAAACGTTTTAAAGTCTTTGTTTTTTTAATTGTGCTTGTATTTTGAATATATGATGCTAGAGTTATGAGAGTTACAAATTAGGAAATTTCCTCGAGTGCTACATGGATTCTAATGCTTTTAAATGATCAGTAGAATACTTCTAGGAAATTGCTTTTCTTTTATTTATTAAATGAGTATAATATTGCATCCAAAAAGAGGGCCATAGCTGCAAGTAAAGGTACAGTTAAGTGTTCAATACTGTCTTCATTAGCTTTCTTACAAGAGAATATATTGCTTCACCTTTTTACACACAATAAAGGAAGAATTGGGGCACAATTTTTTCTTCAGTACCTCTTCGTGAAATTGCATGATTAATTTGGGAGGGACATCTGGATGGAGTGATGCTTTCTTATCCCTTTGCGGTAACTAGTGCTGATTGAGCAGGTGGTAAGGAGATTAAATTTTTGTGGATCCAGTGAGGAACTACATTTTAGGTTTTGTTTTGTTTTGTTTTGTTTTGTTTTTTAAAGATGACCGGTAAGGGGATCTTAACCCTTGATTTGGTGTTGTCAGCACCACGCTCAGCCAGTGAGCGAACCGGCCATCCCTATATGGGATCCGAACCCGGGGCCTTGGTGTTATCAGCACCGCACTCTCCCTCCCGAGTGAGCCACCAGGCCGGCCCTTGTTTTGTTTTTTTTAACGTAACTTTTCACTGACTTATACCTACATCATTATATCTAACACATACTTGTATAATTTTATCAGTAAAATTGTATACGTTTGAATTGATTATTGGTGAGATTAAATAGAGGCATTGTTTTTGTTATTTTGCGTATTGTTGGCCTCTGTAATCTGCTTGCTGTGGTAATTCCTCTACAAAAAATTGGCCACGAAAGAATAGTTCGTCATTTTCAAGGTTCATCCTGTTTTTTAAAAATGCTACTATCATTGAAATATTTTTCTGCAATTTTATCACATTGGAAGCAACTACAAAACTACTTCTGAGTGATTTAATCAGCACTGTTATTACTTGGTTACCTTATTTCTATTAGTTGCTATTGTGTAGTTGAGTAAAATGTTTTACTTAGTTATTAGCCAGTCTTATTTTGGCTTCTAAACTGCTGTAAACATTTTAAAAATCTTTGGTTTCTTTGTTTTGGTTTTTGTATTTTGGTGAATCATAGTGTTAACTTATTTCAAAAAGTGTGAGACATCGAACAGTCTTAGAAGAAACAAATTTGTTTGAGGGTGGGGTGAGAATAAGTGAAGCTCTAGTAGGGTTCCTTTCTTCACCAGATGAATTCAAGAATGGAGAACAAAGAGAAGGTACAAGAAACTTGGCTATTCTTTATGGGTTCTCTTTAGTTCTGAAATCAAAGGTCTTTGAATGTCACCAAATTGAGAACAGTTGCTTCAGTAGAGTTTGAACGACTTCCAAATTTCTACGTTATTTGAATTTGTAGTTGAAAAGAAAGTGTTTCTGTCTAACATTCCAGAGTGTATCATCTGTACAGCTTGAACTGGTATTTGTACTCAAGTCTAGTAGTTACTAACCCAGTATTTAGTAATTATTATAGACTTTTATTTTGACCAAAACTAAATCATAATTTAAAAAATTAAGTTGTTCAAAATCCATTTCTTGAATATCTGTTACATGCCAACAGAGAGGGATACAAAGTTTAGATAGTCTCTACCCTTAGAGTGCACTGTTGGTGAGGGTGAGATACCTACATAACTATAACACACTGGACTGACAGGTCCTATATTGTAGAAACTACTCCTTTATGTATATCTTTATCTGTAGAATTTTTGTTGATGGGGAAGAGGAAAGTCAAGAAAAATTCTATGAACTTCAGGAAAATGTATACGGTGTGCATTGAAGTAGTATGTATTTTGCTTGTTTGTGGATCAAAAGCTCTTAATGTAGATTTTCATTTCTGGTCTTTGAGGCTGTAGGTCACTGATAGCAGTACTGATTTAGTAATCTGACCACCCAACTTTAAAATGAAAGTATATAGAGGTAGTAGCTAGAAACAAAATTCATTTAGGTGGTATGGACCTAGACATCCTCATAAGTCAGCTTTTATTTCGCTTTACATTTAATCATTATATACTCTAGCCAATTGTTTAGCCAATTATGGAAAGTAAATTTATTGGACAAATATCAGTGAAACTTATTGCTGATAAATTTATGTTTACTAGAAAACCATCTAAGATAAAGGTGTAAGGTTGAGAGTGAAATAGATAGAGATGGATTCAGAATCGTGGATAGAAATGTTTAGGGGAGCCAGAACTCTTCTCACTTGATTTTATTATTTATGAGCATAGTTAATTTAGCTGTCCATGAATTGTCCACTTTGTGGTTTATGTGGCATATTTGTAGTACCAAGTTGGCTTCCTTACCATTTAGTTGAGCTTTTTACAGGGATTTCAAGCTAATTTTAATATCTACTCAGAGCATAATTAGAGAAAATCAGAAAATGATACGTTTTCTAAAAAAAAAAAATGTCAACATCGTGGGAATGATGCACCAAAAATAAATATATATTTGATTATCTACTATTGGATTTTGTGTGCTAGTATTTAGTTTCCTTGTTATAGAATAAGTTTTGTAAATGCAAGATGTAATTTTTTTCCCCTGCTTATATTTCTCTATGTGGGAATGATTATTAAATTTCTTCCTTTTTTCTTATTTTTTAAAAATAAATAGAACAGTTTTGAAATACATGGCCTTTGCTGTGTGTTTATGGTAGTATCATATAATGCATGAATGGTGTTACTGTAATTTTAGGATCACTAAAAGCAGTGTTGGGCCCGTCAGGGATAATGAAAATACTTTGACAGCTATACCAAGATCATCCCAATAATGGTATACAGTATGTACAGTATTTCTGTGGTATTAAAATTTTATGGGGGATGATTGGGGGGGGGGTAAATGCCTAACAATAACTCCTTGGAGGTAGGGAGATGGGAATAATGAAAAAATGGTTGAGAAACATTGCTGTAGGGGAACTAATAGGATTTTGGTCACTTTACTTTCCATCATATTTTTAAATACTTTCTCTGACTTGGCAGTAGCTATTTGTATATCATGTAGAGCATAATATTTTAGTGTAAAATCTTGAGGGGGATATCCTTTAGAACTATTGTAGCGATTTAGAATGGTAGGGAATGAAAAAAATTCCTTGAAGTTTTTAACAAACTCTAAGAGCTGTTTCTTACTGGAAGTTATATATAGTTGGCAGCTTTATTGATGATTTGCTAGCAACTATGAAAAGTAGGTAAGATTGTGCAGCATTTGGTGTCTAATTAGAATGATGTTGATGTTTTCTTGTTTTTGAATGCCATTGAAATGAAAGGTAATAATTGAAAAGACCCTTCACATAGTAGGACTTGACCCTGTTGACTGTTTCTCTTTGACAAAGTAGAAATCATTTTTCTAGTTTGTTCAGTAGGCTTTCAGAACTCACTTTGACCTGTGTTAAATTTCGCATGATTTCAGAATATGCATGTTTTCTCACTTTATTGAAGTGGGAACAAAGTTAGATGTGTTCTGTATTTTTTTTAATGTGGAGGATAGGTGTGATAATGATGAAGCTGAAAAAGGAAGATTATGTACTTTACTGATACTACAAAAGAGTGTGTGTTTTGAGTTGCATTTTTAGTAATGGTGGCAAATGTATTCAGATTCATTAATATTTTTCAACAAATCCAAATGTATACCGTTGGGGCTAGCAGTACAGGCTGTGGCTTTGGAACAGAGTGAAGCTAACTAGTCCACATGGAGATCAAACCCCAGGACCATGGTCTCAAATAGCATCATACTTCAACCAATTGGAAGCAATCCAGCTACCAGACAAAATGGCTGATCTAAATATTGGTAGAACCATATCAATATGGAAAGTTGGTTGATGTCAACATAGGAATTCATGGACGGACAAAAATAGTAAGTGATTGTGATGTACCAGGTTAGTGTAGCTGTAATTATGCTTCTAAGTTATTATCTACTTATGTAAATATTTTCATAGATTAACAACTAATGAAAAGATCAAATGTGTTAAACTATTTGTGTAAGTGAAAATGTAAATTTAAATACTTTTAGTTCTCTAATTGATAACCCTTGAATTCTTTTTTTACTCTCCATCAGACCATATATTGTGATTATAGTCTCTGCTGAGGAGGATGGAAACACAGCTCCCTTTGAATAATAATAATAATTCTCCTTGATGTACAGAACCGGATTGCAAGAGAGTTAAAGTGCCCACTGCCCTTTGTGGGAAGCTTTTTAGTATCTTAAGTGTATGGGACCACTGTTGCAACCACACCACTTGAAGCTTCAGCTACACTGAAACTTCCTAACAAATCTTACCCTCCTTTTTTCTCATTTTTACTGTCACTGCAATTTGAGCATGTTACTTTGTTTAACAAAAACTCATTTCTTAAAGATTACTTTGGTATTACTGTACAAACAAAATAAAATTATGGCATTATTTAGTGACTTGTGGTCTTAGTTTCTGCCCATTGCTAAAGATGGCTTTGTTGTCTGACTTAACCTTGAGATCTTGGGCTCCTTATTAAAATAAGTCTTGTAGACATTCTACCTCATAACAAATAAGATTGGTATGTAATGATTCTTTAATTACTAAATTGAATAACTCTTTAGTTATGTGGAAGATTATTTGAAGACAGCTTTACAAATTTGAGGTCCCTTTGGCTATGTGTGTAAGTGGTATTTTCCCTTCTAGGTTTTTTTTTTTTCTTGTAAAAAAAAATAATCTCCCATCTTCATAACAAAGCAATTGCTATTTTGGGGTCCATATAATACCTTGTTGATCTGTATACTGGCATTTGTATAACAAATGCTTTCTCTGGATCATTCTTTTCTTTCTTTTATTTTTTTTTTTAAAGATGACCGGTAAGGGGATCTTAACCCTTGACTTGGTGTTTTCAGCACCACACTCAACCAGTGAGCGAACCGGCCATCCCTATATGGGATCCGAACCCGTGGCCTTGGTGTTATCAGCACCGCACTCTCCTGAGTGAGCCATGGGCCGGCCCTCTCTGGATCATTCTTTATCCATGTAATAGTCCCTGAAACTATTATTAGTTCCTGCATTTGTATAACAATTCCTTAATAAATTGAATTAATGGGGGAGGCCACGAATTATGTCCAAAGTTTTGTGGTTGTCTTATAATTGTCTCTCTTTTTCTTTTATTATCGAAAATGTTCTACCTCATAAGAATGAAACAGTTCACACCAATTTAAGTACTTGTTATGGACAGGGAGAAAGATAAAAATGGTGCTTTTCCTCTGCTACAGGCTTAGTCAAGCTTGTGGCCCAGTAATGGTTACCAAAGGCAGTTAAGTGGTGTCAAGTGTTCTGCTGATACCTACATTTCATTTTTCTTGTGCTTATTTACAAATTGAATCCTCTCTTCCGTTTTTCTCATGCTCTCACGTATGTTTCTTTTTTCGTTTTCCTCTTCCTTCTTCCCTGCTTATCATTTAGGCATGTAAGTGACCTCCACTAGCTTTGCTTTAATACTGCTGGTGACACTGAATGACAAAGCTTTACTAGATTCTTATTGATATCACTTTTCTCTTGCTAATGTACTTGACTAGGTATCTAAGAAGTCAGGTAAGCATTAGCTCTTTGTTGACTGAGAATACTAATTTGAATAGTTTCACCTGTATTTCATTTATTTATCTTTTCCTTGTTCATTTATTAAGATATTTTGAATCATTTTCATACCTACATTTCCTCTTCCCTTTCCTCTGGCTGCTTAACAATGCTTTTTTCTAAAACTGGTCGTTTTCTCAAGGTTGGGAAACAAGATCTGAATACCATAGAAAATAATAGTTGTGTTTTTCTATGGCCAAATATTAAAGAGTTGTAATGGTTCTGTTTTTTGTTTGTGACACTTATGTTAAGTGTATTTTTTAAACCCATTTATTTTATTTGCGTACATGTATTGCTCCCCCTCACCCATGTTTTGTTACTTTTACTTAAGAGTACTTTACTTCCAAGGAAAGTTTTATGTTCTTACTTTATTTTGCCTCCATGTCATTCTTTTCCCAGAGGGATGTTATTTCCTATATTATAATAAATATCAGTGGGAAAATAGGATTTATTATGTAGAAATTCACATTATAGGTACTGTTCAAGAATATATCTATTCCATAAAGTAAGAAAAGATTCATACTGAGATCTTTGGACCTTTTTCTATTTTCTGTCAGGTTTTTGAAACAAAAAAGTTGAGTGAATTTGTATTCATATCTATTTAGTAGTGTTCTGACTGTTACATAATCTAGAGCATTATTTCTGTATCTCAGGAAGCTGAATATGGTGGGCATGATCAAATAGATTTGTATGATGATGTCATCTCTCCATCTGCAAATAATGGAGATGCCCCAGAAGACCGAGATTACATGGATACTCTCCCACCAACTGTTGGTGATGATGTGGGTAAAGGAGCAGCACCAAATGTTGTCTATACATATACTGGAAAAAGAATTGCATTATATATTGGAAATCTGACATGGGTAAGTAAAGTTAACATATTAATTAAATTACTGGTTATTGATTTGTTTTGTTGGCTGGTACAGGGATCTGAACCTGTTACCTTGGTGTTATAAGGCTGCTATCTACTGGTAATTGATTTTGAATAGCTCTAGTAGTTAATGTTTTCCTTCAGTTTTTAAACATAAAAATTTGAAGTTACTATATTTGTTTTTCTGTATTTTTGCTTATGCAGTGAGAAGGGAAATAACAGGTACCTTTAAAGCATCATTAAGTCCAGTTCTTCTGGTTTTAAATTTTGTAGTCATTCAACTTACCTTTGTTAGAGATATCAGTTAATTATAGTTAAATTATTTTTGTCTTCAATTATTCTTTTAATTTACTACTCTTAACGTCACTTCAGATATTATAGTTTTACTAAGAGAAATGCTCACATAAAATCTCAAGCCAGGACTCAGAAGTATAGAAGAAGACAGACACTATATCACTCCTGGTTTAAAAATAGTGCTCATTTTTTGATTCATGTTACAAACTTAAGGTTCATTACTGCTCCTAAATTTGAAATCTAATTTATAGAAATGCTGCTGTATACATTGTAGTTTAATTTGGGTTGTTCAAGACAGATTATTGTTTGAGCTATATTAACTACATGTTCAATATATTTATATTTTTATTAGTATTAAATCTTAAGTATTTACTAAAATAGTTCTGTAGAATTTTTACATCTTAGTTATTACATATACTTGAAAGTTTAAAAATTATATATTTAAGAATCAAAATAAAACTTGGCGCTCTTCCCCTTCCCTTATAACATTTTATTTTTAAATATTTTATTTACATTTCTTTTAAGACTAATTGTGACCAATCTCCTATCACCCAGTCTGAGCCGTCTTGACAGTATTGGAGACAGTAGCAGTGTAGTTATGAGAGAGTGGTTGCAAAGTAAGAATTTGAATTTTAGCTTCACCATTTATTAGTTTTGTGACCCTGGCCAAGCTCTTTAACCTCTCTATTGTGAGACTTATATGGTTAAAAATTAAATAGTTGATTAAAATACATGGTAAGTACTCAATACATGTTAGTTTTTTCTCTTTATTTTATATTCAAACATAAGATGAAATTTATTTCACTAAGTATATTCCTTTAATTTAAAGGGAGAAAGTGACAAGTGAGATTGTTTTTGTTGTTGTTTTGCTTTTTTGTTTTGGTGGCTGGCCTACAGGGATTAAACCTTGGGCCTGGTGTTATCAGCACCATGCTCTAACTAGCTGAGCTAACTGGCTAGCCCAATTGGTTTATATTGAAAACTTTAAACTATAGCAGTTTAAAGCTGGAAGAGACCAGAAACTTTATTAAGAGTGAAAACTTATCTCCCAAATATACCTTCTAATTTCTGAAACACTAATCAGGGAAAATGAAGTTAGGTTCTCAGATGCTTTTGTGTTATTTAAAAATTGGAGACTGACTGATAGTAATTATACTTAGATTTGCACTGAGCCCTAATTTTCTCTTGTTTATTCTGAATTTACCCTTAAAAACTAAATTGAAACAAAAATCTTGGATATGTTATAATGGTTAATGAGGGTTATTATGTCTTACAGTGGACAACAGATGAAGACCTAACTGAAGCAGTTCATTCTTTGGGAGTAAATGATATATTGGAGATAAAGTTTTTTGAAAATCGGGCAAATGGCCAGTCAAAGGGGTAAGAAGTCTCTTTTTTTTTTGTCCAATATAAGTTAGTAACTAGTGATTACAGCTTACAAGTTAACTTTCCTTAAAGTTTATGCTAATTTATACAGGTGTGAAGGACACATGATTATTTACATTGGAAGGAGGTTCTTGGCAAAGATTCATGCTTTCATTTTACATACCTTGCTATCTAATGCACTAAAACTAGGGAGTTGAAGATGTGGACAGGTTAGGTCTGTTTTCTGATTTTCCTGAGTTTTCTCCCTTGTGGTTGAAATGGTTATTGAAATAACAGTTTTAACAAGAATTACTCTCCATGTGATTGGGAGATGCGGCACTATAGGCAACAGGAGAATAATGGGAGTAACATGGATATTTTGCTTTATTTTTTTTTAATTGTTAAACTACACAAGTGAGATAGGATCATTTTGGGAAAATTATAAAATACCAATATCCAAAAGTAAGAAAATAAAATGCTGCTATCTCACCATTCACAGATTATCACTTTTTACATTTTAGAGAGTTTATTTTCACATTTTTTCCCTTAAAATAGGATTACAATTCACATGTTTTGTAACATGTTTAATTCAAGGAGTAGAACAAATATTTATCAGTAAATACACATCCACTCTAACATCTGATTTTTTTCTATCTAGCTTGCATGCTACTGTAATTCATTTTACCTTTCTCGTTTACGGTTATTTTGGTTGTTTCTACTTCTGCCTATTACAAATGATGTTGCAGCAGGCATCATTTTATATAAATCTCCAGGTGCAGATAATTGGGGTTTTTTTAAGATAAATTGCTAGATGCAGGGCTGGCCCTGTGGCGCACTCAGGAGAGTGCGGCGCTGGGAGCGCAGCGACACTCCTGCCGCGGGTTCGGATCCTATATAGGAATGGCTGGTGCGCTCACTGGCTGAGCGCGGTGTGGGCGACACCACACCAAGGGTTGCGATCCCCTTACCGGTCACGAAAAAAAAAAAAAAAAAAAAAAAAAAAAAAAA